TGGCTTAGGAAAGGGGAAATCAGTCATGGGTAATAAAGGATGCAATTCTTGGTGCCCATGTGTTGAAATAGAAGGTTTTCATCCACGACAGGAGCAGGAGGATGAGGGCTGAAAGGGCACATTGATTGTACCCCTGTATAAATAATTCAGATGAAAAGGATACATCTCACCTTGAATATCTCTTCACTGATCGGGGCTTCAATGGTAGGTTTAGGGGTCACTGTAACTAGCAGCAGTTTTATCATTGACAAGATTGAGAAAATGACAAAGGAGGAGAAAAAGAGAAGAGCAATGTCAACAGAATCAGAGGCATGAGGCTCAGGGGTCACTACTACAGATGAACAAGCACTGCATGTACGGGGATCATTCCAAGATGATCTTCAGTGCCATCAATTACTAAGAAAGGTCTATAGAAGGCATTATAGCCAACTCAAGGTGAGTAAACAACAATGCTAGACTCCTACATCTTCCAATTCTTGCAAGAAGATTGGTTGCCACTTGGTTTGGGAAGAAATGATATGCTGGTGGTGCTGAATATCATAGTTGCATCAAACTTCCTCTCTGCTGGTTCCTATAAATATATATTATAGGAGCATCAATCGAAAATTTGGCACATTGAGCCTACCTCACCATTCAATCTATGATTGATCCTCTATCTCAATGTCAAATTCACATGTTCTCCGCATACCTTTTGACACCTTTAATGTCTAGAAATCTATTCATTTTTAAAATTAATTCAGTGTCTTGGCCTCCACAGCCTTGTGCAGAGAGATCCACAGGGATGACCAAAAAGGATCCCTTCACTGTGAAGTGAAGACATTTCTCCTCGTGAGTCCTAAATGATTTACTCTGTATCTTGAAACAGTGGCCCTTTGTTCTACATGGCCGAGCTAGCTGGAACATTTCCCTGCGTCCCTTCACTGAACTTCCTCTGTGGTAAGTATACTTTTCCTTAGATAAGGAGACCAAAGCAGCACACAATGATCCAGGTAAGGTCTCATTAAGGTAATTTACAGCTACATGAAGACATCCTTGCTGCTCTGCTCAAAGCCCCTTGCAATGGAGGCCAACATATCATTTGTCTTCCTAACAGCTTGTTGTACAGGCATGGGTTGCATTCTGTATTGGTGGACAGGGACACCTGGATCTTTTTGTACATCAAAATTTTCCAATCTATCACAATTTAAATAATACTGTGACATTCTGTTTTTCTGACTGAAGTGGATAACTTCACACAGCTATGATGTGCTGTATCTATTACTTTTGTCCACTCACTTAACTTATTAAATCACCTTGAAGCCTCTTTCCTTAACATTCACAATTCCTCCAAGTTTTGCTTCATCAGCAAAATTTGATATATTACATTTAATTCCCTTATCCAAATCAATCATTTAGATTGTGAATAGCTGGGCCCAAGCTAAGGCCGCCTACTAGTCACTGCATTTCAATCCAAAATTTATGTATTTATTCCTACTGATTCCTTTCTACTAACAACTTCTCAAGCCATGTGTCCCACGTGCATTTATCTTTCACACTAAAAACTTAAGTGGGACTGAATCAAAAGTTTTCAGAGAATTAAAATCCACCACATTCACTGGTTTTCCCTCATCTATTCCATTAACTATGTCCTCAGAATGCTCCAATAGGTTTGTCAAAAAATGGTTTCCCTTTCATATATCTATGTTGACTTTGTCTAATCTCATTGATATTTTCCAAGCGTTCTGTAATCAGACCTCTTAGAATAGACCAATGACTTCAATTTCCATTAAGTTCTCAAGCACCACTTAATCTTACTAATTCTAGTTTCCTTCAACACCTCATTCCACCGAGACCCTTGTTTCCCTCACATTTCTGGGAAGTTGTCTGTGTCTTCTGTGAAGGCAGAACTGAAGTAATGGCTTAATTGCTCTGTCAATTTCTTGTTCTCTATGATCAATTCTCCCATTCCAGAACAGAGGACCTACATTTGTGTTCACTAACCTTCTTCTTACAAGTTTACTCTCATGTTCTATTTTGCCCCTCTGAATTAATCTCTTGGTCTTTCTTGACTGAATTCTAAACTGTTCCCGATCCTCAGGCCTGCAACTTTTTCCAGCAAGTTTATATGACTCTTTGCTATCCTTCATTTTTTTTTGTTAGCCATGGTTGGGCCACATCTCCTGTTGTACTTTTGTATCAGAAAGGATTGTACACTTGTTGCAACATATACATTCATTCCTTAAATATTAGCAATAACCTGAGTTGAAGGAGGCATTCGGGTCCCTAGCAGAGGAGCGTTCATGCAGCAGGATAACTCTGGAGAATGCCTTGGTACTTAGCTGCTAATCCTCCTTCCTATTAGTGCACAAAGGGGCCTTCCTCATCCCTTGATGGAATGGGCCACCTGGAGTGAGATGCCTCAAGCACCTTTTGCTGAGCTTTTGAATGAACACATTCCTAGTTTGAGTGTTGGAGTTAAGGCTTGAGCACATTCTGCTGGACTTGACTCTTCATGACAGCCACGACCAGACCGTAGAGGCTGCCATGTGCTTGCATGCCAGAGCCACATCAGATAGAACTTTGGCAGAGCCTTCTGCCTCTCACTGGAGTCTCCACATGATCTCTGGCACCTCTGTTCTACTACTTGCCTCTATGTCTCTGTAAACTCATGAGAGAGGCTGGGTCCAGAGATGATTATCTGTACTAGGTTTAGCAAGGCCCTATTGTGTCAGATATTTTAGTCATTTTTTCCTCTTCTGGCTACAGCCCAATGCCAGTGCTGTGCTCATGTGTGCGAGAATCTGTGGCTGTTCTGGATACATGACGCACCGGGGTAAAAATATCTGCACCAGAGGAGGGCGAATGGAATGCTTTGACAGTGCTTCCTCCAAGGCTCCTGGCTGTTCCTCATCAGAGATGTGCTCTGTGGGGCTCATAGAGACAGACCAGGGCCTGGTCTTCCTCATCTGGCCAGAGATTGCAAGTGGTATCCAGAGGTTGCAGAGAAAAATATAAAGATTAGGGTAAATGAAACACCACCCTTACCCAAGACTTTATTAAAACCTTGGTGCTTGACATGCAGCTGATATTAAGCACAGGTGATTTTTCACTAGATGTCTGCAGATATCCAATATCCCCTTCCACATCTGCATTTTCCCTTGTTCTCCTGCTATCTCAGTAGACTACTCCTCAAATATTGTTGGCATCCTGATGCTGCTGCTGCTGTCACCACCAGTCCTCCCACCCACACTGTCACATGCATGCATGCTCCTTCCTGGCTGTGTATCTTTTGCTTTGGCAAAAAGGTAGCGGCACCAAGAGACTTTTGTATTGGTACATGAACAATTTGCCTGCCTTATTGGAAACAGAGATGTAAATTCCCAAAGCTGGAGATGATGGGAAATCAATAAACTTTATGTAATGCATGTGCATTTGATGTTCATGTAAGATGCTCATCCAGAAGCCAGCTTTTGTGGTGTCCTTACACCATGAAAACTTTTGGTGAGAAGTAATGTGACGTATGGGTTCTCTGACTTTTGATGAAAGGTCAGGGAGCTGGTGGCGTGTGAGCTGCTGAGTGTTGTAGCTCCTTTTCTGTTTTAAGTGAGACCACTGGCAGATGGGAGAGAAGCAGTAGCAATGCGGTACAAGTAGTAAACATACATAAGTGAAATGAAGTGACAGACATTGATTGCACATGAGGCATATGAGGGAGATGCCTCGCAGCCAATCTTGACTGCGACATTCCTGTGCTGTATTAAGCTAACAATACTAACTCACATTCACAGGGGTATAAAGCATGAAGTAGACAGTACCACGTACCCTGCACAAGAGGTCACTCTCTCTTGTTGCAGAGCACCCAACCCCATCCCTGGGTACCACAGGCACCAATCACTGCAGCCACTCCCTCCCCCACCTCCCCAAGGCTGCTTTGGTGTCTGTAGGAAAGCATCCTCTTGCCTTCCCTTGGAAGGAGCATCTCCTTCAGTTCATGAACTGTCACCTGCAGCGCCGCTAGAGAGATGTCACTGAACCATGGTGCTGCTTTTTGCTGGCTCTGTGACATGCTGAAATGGTAGGTATAGGTGTTGAGCAAAAGTTAATTCTGGGTGGTAGAGTAGAGCGCTGTCGGGCTGTGTTTTAAATATGGCAGCCAGAGGCTGGAGACTGGAAGGTCAAAAACCTCTTGACCACTTTTCACTCCAATCTGGCATCTTACTTGCACATACTTATGGAATGAACTGAAAAAAAATGTAAGCACATTAAAAAAAAACACTCACTCCAGCCTTTAACAAAAGTTCCTTTCACTTTTTTAGGCCTACCTCCACTCTTAAGCTCAGAAATGAAAGTTGGAACTATGGGTGGAATTATGATAGTGCATGCCAGAGTGGGACACTTGCAAATGTTACTACATATTTGCTACCCTTGCCTTTCTCAGTGGTACAGGTCACAGGTTTGCAAGATACTGTTGAAGCAGCCTTGCTGAGTTGCAGCAATGCACCTTCGAGATGGCACACACTGCTGCCACTGTGTATTTGTGACGCGGGGAGTGAATGTTCAGGGTGGTGAATGGGGTGCCAATCAAGCAGACTGATCTTTCCTGGATGGTGATAGAAGCTTCCTGAAATTTGGAGCTGCACTCATTCAGACAAATGGAGACTATTCCCTCATGCTTCTGACTTATGCCTGATAGATGGTGGACGGACTTTGGCGGAGTTAGGACGGAGTTACATGCATCAGACTAGAGTGAAAAATATACTATCATAAAAAATCCAATTACTTGTACTTCATTTTTAATTAACCAATGTAGAAGAAATAAGAAGTTTTTTCCCTTTCCCTAAGCTGATACTTTTTAAACACGATAGCAATCCTCAGTTCACCCCTAAAATTAAAAAAGACTAATTTTTCATGTCACTCCACGCTTACAAACATTTTCAATCGGGCAAGTAGAAATCGAAAACAAATGAAGCATCAATTATATTATTCGCAATTTAAACACTCCAAACATGTCTACGTCGAAAGCCATTTTGGATATCACTTTATTTTTGCTTAAAGATTTGCACTCAATTGCAAAAATCCTAATTTTACACTCCACAATGTTGAAATATTTTACCTGCATAGCTTTCCTGACAACTTATTGTTAAAACACAACATTGCTGTACACGTATAAAAATAACTATATACATTAAGAATAAAACATTGAGATAGCCAACATTGAGATAGTCTATATGATGTCCAACAGACATGGACAGTATGTTAAGCCGACTACAGTTTCACAGTAGTCAAGGCATTAAAACTGATTGCTAACGACAAATCCAACTTTAAGTCTCCAACAAAAAAAAACAAGGAACAGTACAAATTGCCCAATATAAAGAATTAAAGGACACATGTAGCTTAGATTACATATTTTTGCATCTTAGATAAGGGTCTGAATGCTTCTTTGGAAAAAAAATCAGTCACATTTTAGATAAATCATTTCATTATCTTAAAATATTATAGGCATTTGGAAAATGTAAAGAGGTTAATTCTTATTTGTGGGGAAATTTGAAGCACAAACGAAAAAAACATGTTAGCATCACTTGGTGCTGCAAACATTTGACTGGAATTGAATTGATCAGAAAGAATCTAATCAGAACCTGCAAAACTCTGGCATTAGAAAACAAATTGCAATTTAGGTACTGAGAAAGAGAGAAGAAACGTAACACCTAATCCTATGCTTCATAAAGCAAGTTAAAATGTAAGATTATACGATTTTTGGGAGGTTTACACTTTACAGAGGCTTGTGGACCATCAAAGCTGGAGTTTTCATTAACCAAACAGGGGCCCTGGGCAGGAAAGGCTTCTACACCTCCATGCACAGCCCCAACAATCCAAATGTAAGGGGTTTCCCCTCTGATGTTAAGGACCCATCTTCTCCCTCTGAAATATTTAATAATTTACATTTCTGAGGGCACTTCCATTTTGAGGGTGCCCTCCCAATCTCCCAGCTGCCTCAGCAAGGCCTACCATTCCTGGGGAGGCTGCCAAGGCTCCAGAATTGCTAACCCACTGATTGGATCAGCATAATCAGGAATCTGCAACCAATTAGGAGGTTGCCTCAAGAAAAATAGCTCTACCAGCCTGGCTCCTGGCAAGTGCGGACTACGGACATCATTTAGTCCTACATCGGGGTCCCAAAGCAAGTGGGAAAATCTTGGCCAATATTTCTTTGTGTGTGATATTTAGCATTCACCTAGCCAACAATTTAAAGCAATGTGGCAAAGATCTCTCTTTGATGGCTATCAGGAATTACTTTGACAGTCTTAGCAACTTAAACTTTGAAGGGTCATTAAGGCAAAACTATTCCTAATTCTCTAACTGTAATTAAATTGGCAGCATCAACGACTTCAAACAGTATGTGAAAATACCTCACTAGTACAATAATAGTTTCAGTTGAGAGGTTTAGGTTAAGGTACGTTTTGGAAGAATAGCAAAATATTTTGATGTTGACACTAAGTGAAAAATATGAAAAATGACCAGAAATTGCAGCACAGGTTAAAAACAAAGAAAGATGTTACCTTATAACAATCCTTCAGAGAAAAAAGTGTAAAACGGCTGCAGTGTTTATAACAATTACTCTATCTAATCCATTTGCTTTTCAATACTAGAATTCCATTGATCTGTTCATTTTTAATACTGATTTGGATAAAGTATAATTTAAAAAATTAAAATTCCAGTTCACACAATGGTCCTCTTACAATAGGACTTCTGGCTTCAAATTAACTTTTATTAGTACATATGCTGAAAACAATGAATAACTAGATATACTTATTGAACAACCAAACATTTTTAACAAAAACATGTTATTGGCCTAACCTTTACAAACATCCTTTTGATATTTACAATTTCACACGACCAAAACTATCTCTACAACATGAATAAATGTTAGGTCCATAAGTCAGACTTCTTCAGGGGCAGCATGGTGGCTCAGTGGTTAGCACTACTGCCTCACAGTGCCAGGGTCTCGGGATCAATTCCAGCCTCACACAACTGTCTGTGAGGGTTTCCTTCAGCTGTTCCGGTTTCCTCCCACATTCCAAAGATCTGTAGGTTAGGTGGATTGGCTGTGCTAAACTGCTCATAGTGTCCAGGCATGTGCAGACTAGGTGAATTAGCCATGGAAAATACAGGGTTACAGGGATGGAGTGGGTCTGGACGGGATGCTTTGCAGAGGGTCGGTGTGGACTTGATGGACCTAATGGCCTGCTTCTACACTGTAGGGATTCTATGATTCATCTCACTGTGGAAACGTGCAAGCATTAAAATCCATTTTTAGCAATAAAGTGTGAATTAAGATGCCTGAGGAACTCTTCCTTAGTTATGGTGCCTGCTGGGAAGACTGCCTGACAGAATTCACAGGTTTTGGAGTTTAGGTCCGGGTCAGAGTCTTTGGATGCTTGATGCAGTAATTCACCCTCTTTATTGTGGTATGGATACCACACAGGCTGCAGGAGAAAGTAGACATTTTTCATTAGTGAACGTGCTGTGTAAATGAAAAACACACCATATGTCTATAAAAGTCAGATTATAATGCAACAGCTTTAGCAGAATAATCAGCCCTTATGGCAGTCTAGAAAAAATATATTCTGATCAACCTTTTTTTTATCTACTTCAGTACTGTATAGGAAATCAGCTCAAAATACCCATTTTGCAGCATTGTTTTTCTAAAACAATGACTCAACAACAATAAATGCACACACCACATCAAAATATAGCTTCTCAAATTGATTAAAGTTATTCCCTCATTAATTTGTGTTAAAATATGCTCAATAAACAGTGTATTCTATTATTTGACAGGAAAGTACCTACTCACTTTTCATAAAGTCCAGAGATTTTGGAGAAAATTTTATACATTTCACATACACACTTACACATTTTCATATTTTGCACTGATTTCAGTGTTTAGGAAAGCTACAGACTATACAAATATTAACACTGTTAATATGCACACATTTTACTTGGTATTACACATCATTAGTGCTCTGGAACAGTAAAGAAAAATTTTCCTAATCATGTAATAAATTAGTGGTATTGATCTGAACTATTCTTCGATCTTGTTACATAGCAGAGTGTATGAATTCTAACTGCATAGCTGGGTCAGCATCAATGCATATTAATATCCTAATTTTAAGTGTAATAGCACCACTTCCTGTTGTTAATAAACATTTTGCTTGATGTATGTAACTAGCAGTTGGTGTAAATTGCACATTAAGTCTGCTTAGGTGCAGACAGAACATTTATCTAAAGCTACTGAAACATATGTATTTGCTAAATACTGTACTTGACAGAATATAAAACGCAGATTGCAACTGCTCCCAGGAGGGTGCAATTTATAAGGGGTTTTGTATCGCAAACTACTAATAAATGTTCACTGACTTAAGCTGTCTTTGTATCTTATCTTTGGCATTGGTGCTAGACCAACATTTTGTGCGCACAGTGCCAAAACAGTATAAAGCTGCCAGTGCAGGCTGCTACTGGAGGAAATGCCAGCGCTTTGTTTCACTTTATACCAGTGGCAGTTTTATGATTTCTCATCATGATGACATTTTTTAAAAACAACTTCCCTATAATATCTCAAACTAATTCTGGGTATAATGGTCTTTTTTTTTGAAACCAACCTAGAGAAGCTGATTGGAAGAAATAAACTATCTCCAGAGGAACACCAAAAAGTAGCACTCCACACATGTGTTTAAGACGTACAGGTGGGCAATGCAATATTGTCTCTAATCACATTCAATTAAAGTCAGTATAACACTCCAAAGTTACACATGATCTGGTTTAAAGGATAACCTTGCAGTAAGTACAACATCTAATAGTTTTTGCATTGTGACTTTGTCATCTACTCTGCCGAAAGAAAATACAAAAACTGCATCCATATTTAAGCTCCAATACAATGGCTCAAATGAACAAGTCTAGGGAGGGCAAAATTGACCATGAAACCCTGTTATGCAGTGACTTCTGCAGGAAATTCACATATGTCGATGCAAGGGTAGGACTTAATTGGCTCTTGTAATTGAACACTATTCTAACACTTGCTTTAAAACTAACATGTAAATAATGGCCATTTGGTGAGGCACGAGAGGATTCCTAAGAACCATCCAACTGTGTTCCTGCAAGTATTTACTGTTTTCAGGAAAACAGACAAGATAATCAGCAAAGTAAATAAATATCTTCTTCAATTCTTTTGTCAGTTACACAAGCTCAAGAGAACACAAAAAGGATCAACTTAACAAGACTAAAATATTGAACATTATCAGGCCAAAAGAATTGACGTAAGGCAATGTGTACATCTTTAATAATTTTTAATGTAAGTTATTTAAAATTCTGAAGAACGTGAATAAGTCAGAAAAATAGCCTAACGCTTGTACTTTCACTTACATAGCTCCTGATAGGTCCAGTTCACCTACCTGATAACTTTCAACACCTTAGTGCAATATGACGACCTTCCTTTATATCTAAACAACATAAGCATTTTGCAAAAACAGATTTTTGTTTTCCTTAGTGCACAAACAATAGGAAGGGAACTTTAAAACAGATAGCTCACATGATACATTAGCAAACTCTAGGCACAAAAAACGAGAAAGCTATATTTGATGTTGGTTAAATATGCCTACTTCATGTAATTTTATTAATTGCCGTGAAAATAAAGATGTCTGAACAAAACACAATGTTATGAAAAACTGCACATTTTTATTGATGTCTGAAATTGTTGAGAACATAACTTTATTAACTGTAAATCAGTGATCCTTATACTCCCCTTTCTATGCAACTTAGCAGCAATTCGTGTTTTATATTTTTAAATAACATGTCTCTTCATAACATGTAATTACATACCAGCTGCTTCATTTGCTTCTGTACAGTTTTGCACTGTACAAAGCAGGGTGCCATCTACTGAAAATAGATACTCAGATAACTAGTAAAAGAACAATCCAATGAGATAATAGAAAAAGGCATTAGTAACAAGTAATGTGATAGAGTGTGTGTGTTTCACAGCTCCACAGGGCTTCTAAGTAATAGAGGAAATAGTGTAATTTGTTTTTGCTAAATCTCTTACAACAGCATCGGTGATAAACATGATGCAAAAGAATTAATATACTGTACTGTCTATGTAGCAAACAACAGACCTTGGGCTAGAGCATTTGAGAAACCCTATGGACAACACATTTTTATCTCAATAAAAATGCAAGACTTTCTTTAAAAGTTCTGTTTGTTATTACATTCATATTTATTATGAAACATTATGGCCTGGAATTCACTCCAAAGGGAATAATAGTCTTGAACATCCTAAGTTAAACTGCTGTGTTCATCAATCCTCCAGGTTTTAAGTTTGCAACACAATTTGTTGGAAAAGTAGATTATATGCAATATGCTTTTGGCAAATTGGGAGCAGTGCAGTTAATGGCCAAAGTACTACAACTCGTATCCAGATGTGTTTAAAGTAGATGTGTAAAAGTTGAACTGATGGGCAGATACAAACACATTACTTGCAACTGTGATCTGTCAATCTCACAACACTAAAATCCCAGTCCAGTATTGGCAGAGCAGACATGTCTCCAATAAAAAAATTAGGGGCCAGAAGCCAATATCTTTGGTTCCCTGCTGCAAATTCTGTTTCATTAGTGGTAGAGATCACAAGTTTGGGAGGTCCTGTTGAAGCAACTTTGGCAAATTGTTGCAATGTATCCTGCCAATAGTCTACACAGCAACCATGGTCGAGGGAGTGGATGTTCAGACAATGAACAATGTGAAATCATGAAGACTGTACATTCCAGATGGTGTCAAGCTTGAGTATTCTTGCAGTTGTACCCACTCAAGCAAGTGGAGTGTATTTCATCACACTTTCTTGACTAAGAGTCAGAGTCATACAGAATGAAAACAGAACTGTCAATCCAACCAGTCCACACCGATCATGTTCCCAAACTAAACTAGACCCATCTGCCTACCCTTGGCTCATATCCCTCTAAACCTTTCCTATTTATGAACTTATCGAAATGACTTTTAAACATTATAACTGTACCTGCATCCACAAATTTCTGTTAGTTTGCTCCACACACAAACCACTCTCTGTATAAAGATTTTCCTCCTCACGTCCTTTTTAAAACTTTCTCCTCTCACCTTAAAAATATGCCCCCTAGTTTTGAACTCCCCCACCTAGGGAAAAGATCCTTGTCATTCACCTTATCTATGCCCCTCATATTTTATAAACCTCAATAAGGTCACACCCCTCAACCTCCTACGCTCCAGTGAAAAAATGTCCCAGCTTTTCCAGTCTATTTTATATTTCAAACCCTCCATTCCCAGAAACGGCTGGTAAATCCTTTCTGAACCTTCTCTAATTTAATAATATCCTTCCTATAACAGGGTGATCAGAACTGTGCACAGTACTCCAGAAGAAGCCTCACTACCATCCTGTACAACCTCAACATGATGTCCCAACTCCTATACTCAAAAGGTCTGAGCAATGAAGGCAAGCGTGCTAAACGTCTTCTTTACCACCCTGTCTATTTACGATGCAAATTTCAAAGAATTATGTACCTGAACTCCTAGGTCACTCTGTTCCACAACGTTACTCAGGGACCTACCATTAATTGTATAAGTCCTGCCATTGTTTGTTCCGCCAAAATGTAACACTTCACATTTTTCCAAATTAAACTCCATCAGCCACTCCTCAGCCCATGGATCTAATTGAACAAATCTCCTTGTAATCTTAGCTAATTTTCTTCACTGTCTACTATACGACCAATTTTGGTGTCATCTGCAAACTTAATAACCGTGCCTCCTATATTCTCATCCACATCATTTATTTAAATGACAAACAAAAGCGGACCCAGGACTGATCCCTGTGGAACACTGCTGGTCACAGGGTCTCCAATCCAAAAAACAACCTTCTGTCTCCCACTATATAGCCAATTTTGTATCCAATTGGCAGCTTCTTTCCGTTAGAGCGATATACAAGACTAGGCAATTAGGAGGTGAGCCATTTGCACAGGTTAACCATCCACTGATTTGGGCTAGTAGCCAGACTATTTGTGTGGCTAGTCCAATTGAGGTTCTGGTCAACGTTGAATTCAGAAAGTTACCCTGTGGTGTTCACCAATCCTTCAAGTTGATGTTGGGGTTTTCAGCTATAGTAATGCCGTTCCATGTTACGACGGTGGGAGATGGAGATGGTCATCAACCAGCATTGGTGTAGCATGGCTGCTTCTTGCTACTTATTAATCCAAACCTAGGTGTTATGAAATGTTGCTGCATGGGAGCATGAATTGCTTCAGCTTCTGAGGAACTATGCACTTCTACTCCCCCCCCCGATCTTACGAAGGCAAAGGAAATTAATCTTTTGGATGCCCAATAACCTTTGACAATAAATGAGAACTATTACCAACCTCTTATACCTAAGGTCACCCTGCACCGAGACTGTGAAGAGAAGTGAAGAAAGTCTGTGTTT